GGTACAGTTATTAGAGAGATATCGGAAAACCGAATAGCGTCATGCAGTATTTACGCGTAGGTACCTTATCATGGTTACGATATGCGCGAGTCAATTTTTAACGCAACACCCGCTAATAACGTTACCGCCTGGCGTAATTTACAGATCAATTACACCAAGCGCTATTTCTAAATAACGTTTAAAAATTGCTTAAATGGGCATGTGCGGGTATTTGACAACCGTGGCGGGCCGGCGAGATCTTTTATTTTAGGTTATGTTTGAATTGTTTTGAATTATTACTTTAGTTTTATTAGGTATTTTGATATTTAAGTAGCTGGGATTAGTTTTAATTAAGTAAATATGGCCCAAAATATGGATTCCACCTCTTCCAATATTAAAGAACCTATAAAGAGGCTTAGGTTTACAGCAGATGACGACTTAGCCCTTTTAAGAGAATTTGTTGCTTGTTACCCTAAACCCACTGGCAGACGTTGAACAATAAAGCACTGGAAATAAGCACTTTAGCCCTTTAGTTTTAAAATACCTAGTAAACAAAACAATTTCAAAGTTTTAAATTCAGAGTTAGGTTAAGTTTAAATAGCGGACGCGACGCGAACAGAATTCTTTCCGATCCGATAACTATAAATGAAGAGAGTTAATACCACCTTACGTAAAGGAAATAACACCTGGCCTTATTAACGTCCATGCACGCTATTCGGTTTAGCGATATCTCTCTATTATGCTGTTTATTGTTATTTTACGCGAGTTTATTTTTGCGCACAGGAAATTTTACTCGTTTGCACATCGTCATAAAAAACAATTTTCGTACCACGAATTAGTGATAAGATTTTTATCTGTATACATATAGTATACCTAATCTGTGATAAAACTAAAGTGTTCTTGAATAGTTGTCTCACAAGTTGTATTTAGATATTTAAAATAGTTTTTTTCTTTGTTATTTTTGTTTTTTTGAAGAGATATGCTTCGCGAAACGTTAAGCATTTTTTTGTCCGTTAGGCAGATTTATTTATTAGTAAATCACTGCTGACAAGGTGGTCTCTGTGCCCCCGTAGCAGTGTTTACAAAAAATAACTATTTTATTTTGTAGATTTTCTTACAATGCAAGTAATGAAATATCCATGGGACTTTTTTGACGAAATAACCCTCTACACCAGCGTTTCTTAACCTTTTCAGTTCGTGGATCTCTAAAAACTAAAGCACAATTTCAAGGACCCCCCTAATTAAAAAAAAAAACAGAAATTTTAGGACAAATTATTTTAGTAAAAAAAATACATTTTTATAAAAATTAATAATACTGTATTAATGTGAAGGTTGGTGCTGCTTTCTTGCAACTAAATTAGTAATATGCGGGTTGATGTTTTTACTTAGTAATATGTGGGTAACAAGATATACAAGATAATATATACAAGAGCAGTAAATGTTTCAGTGCCTCTCCTGACATTTCTTTATAAACTTTTTTTAAATTCATCCAAAAATTTGATAAAGAAGTTTCGTTGAAATTTTATTTTAAAGCTGAATCACATGATATTTGTGTCAATTGATTTACCCCCTTTACCGTTGTCAAGCCGTTGATATCTGGAAAATCTGCGTTGAAAGGGTCTGTTATCCAGTTTCTTTTTTCTGTCGGGTTCTGAAAAATATTCCCGAAAAGATAACCTCAAATCGCGAAGGTGTTTGATCATTTCGTTCATTTCGGTCTATTTTGCGAGTAGTGTGGTGTAGTGGCCGTTCACTGCTAGCCTTTATTTATTAGGCAAAAAGTAAAAATGTAGTGTAAACTCTTTGTTTAAAGATGCTACTAAGAGAAAATATCATTTATACATGATTTTTTCAAGCTGTCTATAGAATATTGAGTTGTTTCTGTATAAATTAGAACATAAAGCTAATAGTCCAAGAAAATAGACCTTCAAATTGGTAAAAACTTGAATTTTTGATAAAAGTTACTTTAAAAGCTCTAAAACCGAATTGTGAAAGATTTTTTTTAAATTGACCCCCGATGGGGGATCAAATAAATAAATAAGGTAATGTTTTCGAAATTTCGGAGAAACGGTAAGGATTAGAAAAAAAAGTTCCAATAAAAGTAGCAGACCGGCCAGATTTCACATAAAAATGGTCTCTATACTTTTTTTGCTCAAGTCAAAATTAAGATAGGGTAGCTAGAAGCTAAGCACAGCCTTTATTGAAACATTTTTCTTAACAAGTCCTTACCGTTTCACTGAAATTTGGAAAAATCCACTTTATTTATATTTTCACCCCTTCTTGGGGTGATTTTAAAAGAATGTGAATTGAAATTTATAATTTTTTGAGCAAAGCGAAAACAAAATTCATATACAGAGTGATTTACTGTCATGGCCCGTTAGACATTTATAGAGAACCGGTAATAAGATTTTTTTAAAAATTTGGATTTTCGCATACATTTGGATTCAGCAATACAGTGTTGCCGCTTCATACTACAAGTGGGAGCATCTTTATTATTTTAAATGGAACACCCGGTATATTATTATATTTTTCGAAACTACTCCCAAATCTCAGATTTTTTCTATTATATTAACATATGCCAATCTTTAATAGTTTTCGAGATAAAAAATAAAGCATGCGTAAAATTGACAAAAACATGATCTTCAATAAGTATTGGTTAAATTATAAATTTGGCATATTGAAAGCTAAAATTTGGCTTATAGGTTAAGGAAAGTCAACATATTCGATCTATTTAAATTAACTGATTGGATATCAAACAGGGAAGTCAGAAAAAATAATTATTTCCGTTTGTTATAAAATCGTTAAAATTATGGTTATTTAAAATTCAAGCCTAATGTATATTATTTAAAAAGTCGAAATCAAAATAAAATTACTTTTTAACGATACATCATATTCCTATACCTAAACCTTCTGGTTTCTTGAATAAAGCCATTTAAAAGATAATAATTCTTTCGTTTAAAGAAAATCTTTATCGTGACAAATATTCAAACTTTATAAGTATCAATTTGAGTTTACGCGCTAAATTTCTAAAATCTTCATTCTTTTCCAAAATCTTCACATCTCATAACGAAATTCTTGAAATGAAACTATAATAATAGAATTATTAATTTTTAAAAAGCTCTACTTAAGAAACCGCAAGATTTAGGTATAGGAACATGATATATCGTTGAGAAGCAATGTTATTAATATATTAATTTTTTAAATAATATATATATATATATATATATATATATATATATATATATATATATATATATATATATATATATATATATATATATATATATATATATATATATATATATATATATATATATATATATATATATATATATAGGGTTGAATTTAAAATAACAAAGATTTGAGTAATTTTTTATCATCCTCTAGCTTCTAGCCTGCCTCGGTTAATTTTGATTTGCGTAAAAAAAATTGGCACCGGGAGGCACGTATAGCCGCCCTTACTAAAATATGTTAATAAAAAGTTGGTAGGCAGTTCTTTTAGTTTCAAAGTAAAGGAATTTTTCCAATTTTGGTTCGCGGTTATTTCCCCTATCCGCCACCTGGGGTCGCGTCCGATGGGAGTTTGGAGTTCTCCACACGGACTTTCTCGAAAAGGGACTACGGAAACACGGAATATCTCAAAAACTGCGACTTTGACTGATTTTGATGTTATTACAAATTTTGTTGCAAATATTATTCCTAATTTTAAATTGAAAACCGCGTTTTGCTAGCTACTGTAATTTTGGAGTAACGATTTTTTAAAATTTTTAATCCCCTCCCATATCCACTTACCAATCCCCCACCCCCACCAAAAACTAATAGCCAGATTCTCGGGTGCCATAGTATTTTTGTGCCAAATTTGGTTAAAATCGGTTTAGCGGTTTTTGAGTTATCGTGTTACAGACGGACAGACAGACAGACACAAAGTGATGAATAGTTTTCAGAAACTATTTGAGACAGAGTTTACCAAAAATGTTTTTTTATATCTACTAGTGGGTAAATGAATTTTTAGATATATTACGACTTTTCTTGGAACTTTAGTTTCGGAGATATAAATTTAATAAGCACCTTTTGAAAAAATTAATTTTATTTTTCAGAAACTATTTGAGACAGAGTTTACCAAAAATGTTTTTTTATATCTACTAGTGGGTAAATGAATTTTTAGATATATTACGACTTTTCTTGGAACTTTAGTTTCGGAGATATAAATTTAATAAGCACCTTTTGAAAAAATTAATTTTATTTTTCAGAAACTATTTGAGACAGAGTTTACCAAAAATGTTTTTTATATCTACTAGTGAGTAAATGAATTTGTAGATATATTACGACTTTTCTTGGAACTTTAGTTTCGGAGATATAAATTTAATAAGCACCTTTTAAAAAAAATAATTTTATTTTTCAGAAACTATTTGAGACAGAGTTTACCAAAAATGTTTTTTATATCTACTAGTGGGTAAATGAATTTGTAGATATATTACGACTTTTCTTGGAACTTTAGTTTCGGAGATATAAATGTAATAAGCACCTTTTAAAAAAATAATTTTATTTTTCAGAAACTATTTGAGACAGAGTTTACCAAAAATGTTTTTTATATCTACTAGTGGCTAAATGAATTTTTGTGAAATTAAAAAAACTTTTTTTTTGCCGATCTTAATGTTAACCTGTTGGTATGGTCGGCTAAAAATATAGAGACCATTTTTATGTAAAATTTGGAAAAAATCACTTTATTTATTCATTTACCATTTCAAAGTAACTTATATCAAAAATTCAAGTTTATACCAAAACTTTCGTATTTGAAGGCCTATTTTCTTGGACTACAATGAAAGCTCGAAATAACATTTTTTTCAAAACAGCTGAATTTATTTGGACTAAACTTTTAAAACTGGTAGAAAACTTACAGTAGAGACTAATATAGGCTACTTTCTAGTCTTTCCTCTAGAACAGCTGTACAAAGCCTGGAGTAATTGCTTGTTTAAAATAAATGAGTTTGCACTTGACGTTACATATATGTATTTGTTTAGGTAAGGAGTAAATTCCAACTGGTCGGAGCGGCGGCTATGCTGTTAGCGGGAAAAATCGAAGAAATTTATCCCATCGACGTAAAGGAATGGTCATATTTAACAGGTGATACTTTTACGCCCAGGCAAATCTTGAAAATGGAACAACTGATTGCCAAGATTTTAAGGTAGAGTAATGTTTAATAGTAATTTGCAAATAAAAATTCTATAAATTAATTCGATTTAATTAAAAACGCATACACAACAAATTAATTTTTTTAGTGTAAACTTTTAGTCTGATATTAGTTACATATTTATGAATTATAAGTGGAATTAGATATTGCATTACCGGTTATCGCTTTACCGGTTAAAGTGTAACCGGGTGGCCAACTAAGAATGGACGCCGGCTGTATCTCAGAAACTACTTATCGTATAACTTTGGGAAAAAAATTCTAATAAGTAAATCGACCAAGGGAAATCGCTGGAAATTATTTTCAAGTTCGAAAAATGTCCGCTAGGGGTCGTTTTTCTGATAGCCAATCAGAAAACAGGGTTTTTCTCAAAAATATGCAGGTGAACAGGTATTTTAAATATTACTATTGTAATCATCGAGAAATTTGTAATTTTTTTGATATAAAGTAATTTGCTCTATCTCATAAAATAAAGTGGTGGGGGAAGGTTAAACTTGCTTTTATTAATAAGAATAATTATAGACCAATTAGCTTACTGCCAAGCTTTTCAAAAGTATTTGAAACAATAGTTGCAAACAGAATATTAACTTTCATGAATAGTTGTAAACTGTTTCAGAATATACAACATGGGTATTTGAAGGAGAAAGGTACCATTACTGCATTGTTCGATTTCACTACATCAATAATACAACATCTGGAAAATAAAGATCTGGCAGTGGGTATATTTCTTGATTTATCAAAAGCATATGACTCTTTAGACCACCATTTACTACTAATAAAACTCGAAAAATATGGAATAAGAGGTCCAGCACTCAAATGGATTACATCATACTTGACAAATAGAGAACAACAAGTTATTGTGAGAAAAGACGAAAAGATTAGTAAGTCCAGTATACAAAAATTGAATATTGGTATACCTCAAGGCAGTATCATTGGGCCACTACTTTTTATCATCTACTTAAACGATATTAGTCAAACAACAAGAAATGCAAATTTTAGCCTTACATGCTATGCAGATGACACTAATATACTTACTCACGGAACAACACAAGATATTCTGAAGGAGAATGGCAGCAAGGCTTTCATAAGAGTAGAGGAATGGTTTGATGCAAATAGACTAATGCTAAATAAAGAAAAAACTAATACACTAATTTTTCGAACACAACAGAAGAAAATTGAATTAGCGAGCAATTTGAAAATTGGAGAAATGGATGTCAGCCTTGGTGGTGAATGCAATTTCTTGGTATTTACATAGACGAGCACTTAAAGTGGACCCAACATATTTATAAGCTATGCTTGAGACTTGGCACAATTTCCTACGGTCTGAGAATTGTGTCAAGTTATGTGAACCCAGACTCAATGAAAACACTATACTGTGGAAATTTTGAGGCACTGCTGAGATATGGAATTATTCTCTGGGGATCAAATTCAGAAACTGCAAAAATTTTTGTGATTCAGAAAAGAATTATAAGACTTATAAAGAAACTTCAGTATAGAGAAAGCTGTCGAAGACACTTTAAATCCTTCGGAATTATGACGCTTCCAGCTCTTTATATATATATGAGTGTTTAATATTCATCTTCAAACATAAGTCCCTATTTGAAATGGAAAAATCTCATGAATACCAAACAAGGTCCAGTGATGCCAAGTTCCCCTCACATCGTCTCACCCTGACTGAAAAAAATCCAGTATACATGTGTGTAAAGTTTTATAATAGCCTCCCTGAAGACATAAGAGCAATCGAAAGTCAAGAAACCTATAAGAAATCGTTGAAAAAACTCTTAATTAAATTGGAACCCTACTCAATCAATGAATTCTTAATATAAAAGTCTCTTCACCGCTGACAATATTTCAATATGTCTATATATTTGTAATTTTATTGTACATATTTAGATCATTTTTGAAATAAATATTTTTATTATTATTATTATTATTATTATTAAAATAAGGATAACTCTGGTTTAGGTTACCCGATTTAAACAAACTAGTGCTCGTTTAAAAGAGCTTTTCTTCCTTAATGATCTCCAGTATAAATTTTGTTTCCATAAACGCCTCCTAGTGAACATTTTTTGAACTTGAAAGTAATTTCCAGCGATTTCTCTTGGTCGATTTACTTATTAGAATTTTTTTCCCAAAGTTATACGATAAGTAGTTTTTGAGATACAGCCGGCGTCTCCATTCTTAGTTGGCCACCCGGTACAAAAAACGCGGTAAAATATTACCCGTAAATCATCTTCAAAGACCGGTAATTTTGGTGATCATTAAAAAAAGGAATATATACTAGCCTTAATAATTTATTTAGTTGGGATCCATTCTTGGTTTTAGGAGCCTGACATGTACTAGTAATGTGGTGGCTTGTTATTTTAATATGTTCTGTATAGTGTATAACCGATATAGTTGAAATAACCGACGTCGCTCGATTATGAACGAGCGATGCAAGTGACGAGTTACAAGCGGCGATCCTAGAATGAAATAAATCGAAATCCGATTTTAATGTGACATACTCGATAAAAAGCCGAGCGAATTTTCTACATACATTGCAGGTAGCAAATTTATACGACGCCGTATATATATTTATCCGTTTCGTTTCTGAGGGACAAAATTTTACGACCTACATCGACAATGCTTTGAAATAAACTAAATCAAGCGATCAAGCGAATCGCCCGTCGCTTGCTACTTGCCATTCTACATCGAAAGAATATGTGCTCTGCCCACGCAACTTACTGCTTGGATCTTGGCGTTAACGAGTACTTACAACAACCGATGGACGAAAAACCGTATTTTTAAATACGAGTGATATTTCGCTCGAGCGATCACTCGGTTATTGCAATCGCTTGAAACTCGAGTACTCGATTTTTCTCATCACTAATAATTTCTGAAGAAGACCTAAGAATGGTCGAAATGTACGTAAATAAAAATAACTTTTAATTATTATGTTTTAAATTGCTGACCTAAAACCAACCCAACTGAATACACAAAAGGTGAAAGAAAAAAATACATTGATAAATTTATTATTTATTTAACTGTCTATACCGGGTGCGTCTCAAAAGCGGCTCACCCCAATAACTTTTTTATTTTTTTAGATAAAAAACCCAGATTTGGTAAGTTAGTATATGACATATTTTAGGATTAATTGACGTATTATTAACTTGACGTATATATTAATTGTTTTTGGTCACTTTCCAGTTTCACCGGAAATTACTACAGCTTTTGATTTTTAAATGGCACCCTCTGTATATTTCTAGATAGAAAATGACACTCTGAATAGAATGACATATCATATAACAATTAATGCTTAAAAAAATTGTATTTTAAACTAGAGTGACATGGCTGTGTTTTAAAAACACTAATTTTTAATCAAGGTGCCTTGAAACAATATATTTGATTGTCTAATGTTTTTCATGTCTTGACCTGGCCGATTAAAATATACCCAAATCGTATTTTTAATTATATCTCAATTTTTTCAAATGGAACAAGGGTAGCTCATTAGCATATTTGGAAAAATCATTTTTTTATGAATAATTTGGTACCACAAACTTGGTATTTCGAGTCAAATTGTCGTTATGAACCGCCTATTACAATTTCAAATGTCAAAAGTTGACATATGATACGTCATTCTATTCAGGGTATAATTTTCTATTAAAGTAAACAAATATCGAGGGTGTCATTTAAAAATCAAAAGTTGTAGTCATTTCCAGTAAAATAGGAAGTGACCAAAACAATTGAATATGTTAATCTGTTCTAATTTATGTCATATACTAACATACCAAGTGTAGCTTTTTATCTAAAAAAAGCTATCGGTGTGAGCAACGTTGGAGACGCACTCGGTATATTAACTGAATACACAGAATAATTAAAAAAAAACTTTAAGTAGTTTATTCTAGTTTTTAATTTGTGTTAAAAATTGTATAGTTACTGTAACATCGATACTAAAATCGTGCCACGATATAACATTTCACTTTGTTATTAAATTACCATCAAAGGGCTGCTTCCATTTACAGCCGAACGCCAAAAATAGCAACTAATTAAACGCCTTTATTAACGAGCGTAATTATTTTCTCGTTAGATTTCGCATGCAGCCGCCGACAATGTACACTTTTATCGAACATTTCTGTCACGAACACCGCTTGGATGCGCAAACGATGCACTTGGCTATGGTAAGTACGACAATCATTAGATCGTATATACTTTTGTGGATAAAGCTATAACCCCTAATTAGGATGCCAACATATTTAGGTGAAAACATCCTTTTTTCTTTCATCTCTAACGCAATTATGACGTTCTATATTTTTTACCATTATTTTAGAATATTTTTGTAAAAGCCTCCATAGCAACAACAAGTCAAGAGTGTCACATCATGGACCACTGAGCGATCCCTTCCTAACAGATACAGGAGTTAGGCAGGAAACGTATGGCAACGCCTCTCGTATTCAAAATATTGATAGCAGCGCTTTCCATTTTAGACCACAAGTAAACCAACTATACAGCACCCTGAAAAGGCTATAATTCTTTCAAGCCATTATTATATCTTTGAGTTTTATATCATATATATATATATAATTATATCTTAAGTTAATTATCTAGTACAAAAGAGAAAGAATAAAAGGAACCAGGAACGAGTGAGGAGTGGTCTTTAGTTCGGTTGTTCGTTATAAAACTACTGTCGAAATTCGAGCAAAGGCAGTTTTATGGGCTCTAAACAAACTTACAACACATTACCGATGTGACCTCTCCCGAGAGTATCCCCTAGGCAGTAAACTATCCATCGTCTCATACATCGCACCCGATCCTTTTTTGGTCTTTGTCCCCAACTTTCTAATAGTGATGGCCTAATACATAGAATACCGGTTTAACATGAGTCGCGTTACAATAGCGACCGTTCCAGAAAAATACCGCGATTTTGTAACCGAGGTTCCAATTTCCAAAGTGTCACGCTTATGCAGTATTTCTTGCATTAGTACCTACCTACTCCCAACCAGTGTTGTCAGGTTCTTACAATTCTACTAGCTGTTACAACCATTCGTGCCATAAACTTAGATACAACTGATAATAGAGATGAAGAATTGCCCTCTATAAAACCGTTCCAGATATTGGCTTTTGTCAATAAAAACTTATATAAATGTATAAAAGCAAATAAAATATTTTTATTATATTTTATTTACTGTTGCGTTTTATTTGTCAAACAACGCTATTTTATACCATGCCTAGTACATACCAAAAATCGCTATTTCGAAAGTAACGTAGCGACGGGAGCACCAACGCCAACAGTAACCAACCAAATAGCAACAGGCAAAACCGGAACCCTAGAAGCGCTCCAGCGATTGCTGGAACGAAGTACGCCGCCACCGAGGTAGAGCGTCGATAATCAGTTACAGCAGGGACCAGTTACTTCTGTTCGCAACAGACGGAACTACGATTCTAGGAGCGCGACGGCTGGAGCGAAGTACGTCGCCGCCGAGGTTGAGCGTCGATGATCAGTTACAGCAGTTACCAATTACTTCTGTTCACGACAGGCGGAACAACGGCTCTAGGAGCGCGACGGCTGGAGCGAATACGTGCGATGCTACGTACATACCAGTTCCAGTTACTACTGTTGGCGACCGACGAAATCGCGACGACTGGAGCTAAACACGTCGCTATGCGGTTACTACGGTTCGAGCTAACTTTAAGAGCGATTATAAATAATTTATAATTTTGTCGTCGTTCTTCAGTAGCAGGTTCCTGATTCGTTGTGGAGTGCGACACGACGTTATAAAAAAATACAGCTTCAAAATCGCGTTGCTCACATACCGACACATCACTACCTTCTAATTAATACAAGCCGCCCAAATTTACTGATTATTTTCTTTCCAAGATAAAAGCTGTCTTTAATGATACAGCAGCCTTCAAACGGCAGCTTTTAACCGATATTTTTATAAAAATATAATTATGAATCCTCAGTCAATGATATATGTTATAAGTGATATTTTCTTCATGTCTCATCGTACATCTTAAGAGACTCGAATGTGTGAAACCATTCGTAAGTTTTTTTCGTTATGTCTAATTTAGGTTAACAATAACAAACAGCCAGTTTTATGGTCCGTTTTAATAATATGAGCATTACATACAGATACGACGGCGCCGGCGCGGCGTGGCGCACGGTGGGGTATTAGCGTGAAAAAGATGATCGAAATTCGAAAAAGTAAATGTGTTTAAGATTTCCCAAAAAAAGATAAATGATAAGTTAAATCATGTCTGCCATGAAAGGCGTTGCTATGGGTGTGTTTAGTTGCATTCATTTGTTTCAACGAAACGTCAAAGTTGTTACTTCTCACAGATAAGAGGTAAATGGCTAAATTTTATGTTTAAAATTATAAATTGTTGTTGTTCTTGTGCTCTTTTTAGGTTTATATTATTGTTTTGATTGAAAATGGCTCAGCAAGCTGCAGGTATGTATTCTACAAAAACGTATTATTTATTTTGATATTCTCTACACTAACGATTTTTTTTGCAACTTAAAGTTAGGGGTTCAGAAAATTTGATTAAATTTGTGACATTTTTATTATACTTAGAGATTTAGTTGCGCATTTCGAAGAATCCAGCATATTGTCTATATACGTTTTACTTAGTAAACATTGGACTTTCATACAATAAAATAAAATACTGCGACTTTTTGCGACTTTGCTGATAAAGTGAGAAAAACTTGGTTTCCTCTAATTTGCCAATCAGTGATATACTAATGCTAGGTGTAAACCGCGATGGCATTATTGTGTACAAAGCGATCGCATTAGTGCCATTAGCAGTATAGCACAATTTGGCATTAGTAGCGACTTTAGTGGTATAGGCATTGCTCGCGGATCAGTCGTAGCATTAGTAGTATTAGTTGCGATATTACTACTGGCATTAGTGGCATTGACCGTGGAAACACCGGAACAGTGATTTTTCTTTCTTTTTTTAGAATCGACGAATTATCCTTTATTTTGTTCATATTATTTCCTCTTTAATTAAAAATAGCAATAATTTATATAAGGTCTACATAAAAAAATTTCGATCAACTATCTGTGTCAAATACCCCACTGTGCGGCGGTCTGTTTAACATAAAAATACTCAGGGCAAAAACACGTACAAAATTCATCACATAACTTTAGTACGCTGTTGACTGGGCTCTAGTTGCAAAAACATTAGAGCAAATACAAGAAACGATGAACCTGGGTATATACCTGGGTATACGACGCTTTGGGCCTTAAGCTGAACATCGATAAAACTAAAATCATGTGGACTTTCACGGATCAGAACAATGCTACAAAAATCGGAGTAGAATTATTGGAATATATAGCGGAGTTCAATTATCTCGACAGTTTGATTTCGGAAAAGGTCAATATCGACTCTGAAATTTAGCACAAAATTAGCAGCGCCTCAAGAGCATTCTGGAAATTAAAAGACAGGGTTTTCCACAATTATGACTTGAGCACAAAAACGAAACATGCAGTATACCAAGCAATAATAATCCCCACTATATGAAAGCGAAACTTGGGTGTCGTACCACCGACACATAAACGCATTAAACAAGTTGCAACAGAGACACCTTCGACAACTTTCATGAATCATATGGTTCCACGTATGTTTCAAACGTATCGGTCAGAAAAAGCTAGCTGCGGGAGCATCGAAGTTATGATTACAAAATACCGCTTAAGATAGCTTGGTCACGTATGCAAAATGTAAGAAAACCGCCAACCGGGTGGACAACTCAAAAGGTACAAGAATATTTTCCAAAGAAACTTAAAGGGAATAAGCATGCAGAATCAGTGGGAGGAAGCAGCCCAGAATAGAACGCAATGGAGAAGAATTGTAAACTCAGTTAACAGCGACAACCAAAAAGTATATAGGCAACAAAGCATTGAGATTTTTGAATGTCTGGAGTTCGAAAGAGAGATAAAATCACGTATCGGGCTTTTCAGTTACAGAAAGCTCATGAAAGAAAACGCCTTGCGTAACCATCTTCTGAAGCATGTTAAATACTCGTCAGCGAGCAATGGCAGTAGTAGTTTTGGCCGTTTTTTAACACAGTAATAAACAACTTACTCTCGTGAATCGGATCTTTATTAAGAAAGTACGCTGTAAAAATATACTATTTATTCGTTTTCCACAATACTAAGAGGCCATGCTATGCCGGAAACACTGCGACTTCTAAGGTCTATTGTGCTTATCCATTTTATAGTCCGCGCTCAGTCTCATATCCAATGTTCTGCACTAGCTTGTGCAAGTTCTTGACAGGATGAGAGCATAGTTCCTCTGGTTCTAGCCTAACTTTCCCAAATAGAAAGCGTTTCTTACAGTCCAAAGCCTCGCAGTAGCATATTATGTGCCTTGCTGTTTCAAGATCTTTATCGCAGAGTCTGCAGCAAAGACTTCCTTGATACAGGTTGAACTTTGACAGACATATGCCCAAAGATCTCTTGTAATTACCACTTTATTCCTGCTGAGCATTAGCAGTTTCTTTGTGGTTTTATATTTTAGTCCTTGGATCCCTTGCTATGCCTGTGCTACCACTGCCTGTGCTGTCTGTTTAACCAGTAGACAGTCTGCTATTGCTTGAAATTTAGCCAGAGTTTAACTGAACCACGGGTTATACAATTGAGTATTCCCAGTACTGGTTCTAGACCAAAACAGGATTGCGATGACTCTTCGCTTGCTAGTTTTTGGCGTTTTCTTTGCCTTGGGTGCCCTGAGTCGCACTACACTCAGAATAATTTAATTTTGTTCCTTTCTGCCAGTATTCTAAGGGCATCCAGACATTTCAGTGAGTCAGTCACTTAATAGACCGAGAGCTAGCTACATAAAAAACCTTATCATCGTTACATGGCTAATTTTTTGTGTGAAGTATCCTTTTGTGTAGCCATTGTGAAATAGTTATGTCTGCCAACGCGATCCCGGGGCTTAAAGCGGGGGCGGCCAATCGAAAGGATAAAATTTTGACACTAAAAATATTATTAGGTACACGAGTTATAATTGCCAAATAGCTTTTATTTATTATTAGGAAACGTGTAAAATTCTCGACAGACATTTTTCTCGTGGATGAAATGCCGGCAGACAACGCGAAAGAGGCATAGATTTTTGACAAAAGAAAATCATCGCATACATGCATGTCGGTTGGTGGAATGTCATGTTTATTGTTAATTAATTTAAAAAGCCGTATGCAAAAGGGCAGACAAAAAAATCGTTATTGAAATAATAAAAAAATATATTTATAATATAATCGTATATGATTTATCTATACTTAAATGGATGAGGCGGCCAGCGTTCCCTGAATTAAGCGCTAGAATAATATGGCGCTTTTGATAACTGTCTGCAGCTGATTGAGCCACGATCTTTTTGTCTGCCCTTTTGCATACGGCTTTTAAAATAATTTTTTTCATTCTTCAAATTTCATTTTTTTAAATTTGATGCTTCTTTCGCGTTGTCTGTCGGCATTTTAGCGACTAGAAAAATGTCTGCCAACAATTTTCCACGTTTCTTAATAATAAATAAAAGCTATTTTCGCAATTATAACTCATGTATCTTATAATATTTTTAGTGTCAAAATTTCACCCTTTCGATTGGCCGCCCCCGCTTTAAGCCCAGGGATCGCGCTGGCAGACATGACTATTTCATAATGGCTACACAAAAGGACACTTCACACAAAAAAATAGCCATGTACAATCCAGGCGTTTCTCAATGATACCTTAGGCTCATGAACACTCTGAAAGCCGCCTGACTGTCTTTAAGCTCTTCTAATTGCTTGTAAAATGGCTACAACACGTGTTGTTACTAAATAGTTGGCCGACTGAACATTGCCTGTCCGCGGATAGCCTTAGTCTTAAAAAATAAGTGCAAATATTTTTAAAGGCAGTATATTTCGATCCCAGAAACACGATTATACGATTTTTTTCGCGAAAAAAAAAATGAAAATTTGGAATTTTTTGAAAAAAATTTTGGAATTTTTTTAGTTTTTTACTTAAAAAACATAATAATTTGTTTTTTTCTTCTTAATAATATAGCAACATAGGTAATAGATTACATTTACAAGAAAGAAAACCCAGAAAAGATCCAGTGGTTCTCAAAATTTTAGCAAAAAATCATTATTTTTTGGAAATTTTCAAAGTAAAATAATTCACTTATTTTTGACTTACTTGAAAAACGATAAAGAGAAAATATGTTTCTTTTATCGAGATCTACCAGCCTTGAAAATATTTACACTTATTTAAGACTCGCCCTGTATAACCTCGATAACTTCCAGTGGATATACAGGGTCGGTAAGGTCTATCTTTGGGACATTTAAAAAAAATAAAAAGATATATTTTTATAAACAGCCACCAAAACATAATTCGACTATGCTGATCATTAAAATGTTATCTAAAAAAACACATAAAGGTTTATTATACTTTAATACAATTTATATGAAAAATAAGCAACTTAGTACTAATTAATTATTTGTGTCTTTGTATTATATGTGTCTCTTATATGTACACGAAAGTATATAATATGTATATATACAATCTAGGTTACGACCACATCGTTATGTTACCATTTCCACTAATGAACCGCTTTGGTTTTCAGTACATCAGCGAGCTAGTCTTGTTGGAAGGGGATGAATACTTAAACCACCTGCCCTCCAAATTAGCAGCAGCGTCTATTGTTGTGGCCAGGTGAGAATCATTAAAGTAGAAATACAAGAAATTCGGTTTTGGACATTGGTTTTAGCGAACTACGGTATTTAATTATTCCCTAATCTAAAATTGTCTGTCAAAGTAAAAGAAGAATTACTTTGCTAGATAAATTAATTATTAAACTTTCCATTAAACCCAACTAATAATTTGATAATAGCATTTAATTAAATATTTAATGTTTTCACAAATTTATTTAAACAAACTTTGCTTTAATAACTTTTTTATCTCGGTCGTAAGTTCATAGTCATCGATTCAATGGTTATCAATCATAGAATCTGAAATATAGAGGTTAGTTCACCTCTATAATATAATTTTGCTTAGATATACCGGATGTTTTCCAAAAGTGGCCCACCCTTATAATTTTTTTATTTTTTCAGATAAGGAAATAAGGAAATGACTAGGACTTTTGATTTTTGAACGGCACCGTCGCGTCGGTATTATTTTAGTTTGTTCGATAGAAAATGATACTCTGTATAGAATGACATATCATATGTCAACTTTTGACATTTTCGACACTAAGACACACTAATTTATCTTTAAACATACTAATTTTAATTAAGGAGCTTTGGAAAAATAGTTTTGATCTTCTAATGTTTTTCATGTCTTGTCATGGCCTGTTAAAAGATTCCCAAATCGTATTTTTTAACATATCTCAATTTTTTCTAATTTATGAATAATTTGGTAGCACATACTTAGAATTTCGAGTTAAATTATGGGCGTCATGGCACTCTAGATTGAAATTTAAAATACAATTTTTTTAAGCGAGAAAATTGAAAGTTGACATATATGTAATTCTATTCAAAATGTAATTTTCTCTCGAATAAAGTAAAAAAATACCGAAGGTGTCATTTAAAAATCAAAATTTGTAGTTATTTCCAGTGAAACAGAAAGTGACCTAAATCAATAATTGAATACGTCAGACAATCCTAATTTATGTCTTTTTTATCTGAAAAAATAAAAAAGTTATAGGGGTGGGCCACTTTTGAGAAACACCTGGTATGTTGCTTTATAAACAATGTAATTTTGCTCAAGAAAAAAATATACAGAGTGAAAAAGGGAATATGCCTTATATCAGGATTTATATTGATGATTTTTGGGTAATATTTTTGGGCATATTTGTAAGAAACGGAAATAAGTATATTTTTATACCTCTCTGTATGACATATAATTCGTAATTTTTACTTTTTATGAAGCTTATTGTCAAATATAACTTGTGATACTAAAGTGAAATTCCATATTTCTACCAACTAGATTAACAGAGCATAACAGATTTTATGCGCCTCCATAGCTTGATGGGACATAAAACATTTTTTGGAAATCAGCGTCGGAAAAATAATTATTTTCATTATAAAGTATGCACGGTTGTTTTTTTTACAAGAGAAAAAAAAATGTAGTAAATACTAGAACGACCATTTTACGAAACAAAATCGGTCGTCAGTTGAGTTGGAAAATATTTATACTAAAATTTATGTACGGGTGGGGGTAGTTTTCACCCTTTCTTGATTTTTGTGAAGGTCAAATATTAAAGCACTTAGGAAAACATAGACACCCAAAATTTCAGCCAAATCGGAATAACGGTTCTTAAAATATCGAAAAATGTGTTTTTTTTAAATTTTGATGCCCTCTAACGGACAAACGAAGCACTTTTGTATAGAAGTAGTTTGTGTCCAATGAATTTATTTTGATTGCAAAAATACGTAGTAATTCTATGTCCACAGAATATTGGGACATCCTGTATAAATAACATCTAAATACCTTAGTATATTATGTAGCGGAACTAGCAATTCGTCCTGGGGGGCGCTGGGGTTCGTCCAGGGTTGGCTTAGTGCTTTTATTTTTTAAAAACTGAAGAGTAATTAAAAAAACACATTTTTTGAATAAAACGCTTACATGAATTTCTCTATCAATAAATTTCATAAATTTGGTTATCAAACCGTGTTCCCGCAGATTACTTAAACAGATTACTTACTTACCTACAAATTTTCTAAAAAAAATAAAAATTAACACATTTTTTGAGCACAACAAAATAACATTAACTAAACAAAACTAGAAAACGTCATTTTTACTACATCACAAGCAAATAAAAATTAATACTTAGCCAAGAGTCATAATTCAAAATATTTCTGGGGGGTGCCCAGCGGCACCCCCGGGCACCACTGTAGTTACGCCAATGATTATGCACTACAATTTATCCACTTTATTATAAATATTTGTGCTGAAAGTTATAAAATATTCAACTAGAAAAAGTTAATCATACTTTGTTAAGTTATGACACCGTAACATCGTAAATAAATTAGCTAATATCCTTGTATATATATATATTTTTAAAGTAGATCAATCTAAGACGTTTATGGACTTAGACTACTAGATGGCAGGACCGGTTTCCCTACAGAAAAATATTTTTTGTTACTCTGAATTTTGAAACTACCAATAAAAACAGAGAAAATAAAAATCGATAATTTTCGGACTGTGCCGTAATTTGTGTTAGGTAATTATACAATTAGACCATTGTAAATACCCGACAAATTCTTCAAGGCCGACAAGGCCGATGCTTCTCACTGATAAGAAATAAAAATGTTTGTTTGGATAATTTTCGAGGTATTTTTTTTTTCTGAATGCACATTTTAAAGTATTTTATATTCTTTGTCCCCTTGACCTATTATCCTGGTCGCCACGTATGGAAGTTCTGTTTCTTCTAGTTTTAAAAAATGTTCATATTTCTTTTTAGTTGTAGTGTAAAATTTGATTAATTTATTAAGTTTAATTATAGTGTTTAGTGTAGCATGTTAGTGTAGTCTACCAAAAATAGTTTAGTAGTGTTTTTATAGTTTATTTTGTAGTTAAGTAGTAGGTGAAGGGATAATTTTGTTATTTTTTCTTTTTGTTTGATAAATTAGTAAGTTTGATAATTTGTTCAGTGTAGAATACAAGAATAAGTAGTTGTGTAGTGTTTTTAAGAGATTGTATTCGTTTATTTTGTGGTTGAGTAGTAGGTGAAGGGGTATATATTTGAGTATTTCTTCTTTTTGTTTTTCTTGTAATAATTGTAGTAGTTCTATTAAGTATTGTGATATATACACTATATCTTCCTTCAACTTCGTTGAAAAGTGCGTTATCATATATAATCTTGGTTTTCTGGTAGCAGAATATACGAAAAAAAATCTGATCAAATTTATTTGAAATTAAATTAATCTAGCCTTATTAATCAAATTAAACTAGTCAAATAATAATAATAGTTAGTTTCAAAATACTATACAGGGTGAGTTTCCTACGATGTTCTCTATGAGCATCTTGGAAACTACAGGAGATAGAGAGTCGGTTAATGGGGAAAGAATTGCAGTTTTGTGGGGTCATAAATATGCGCCTTTCGAATTTTTCGGAGAAGTTCAAGGCTTATTAGATATTTCGAAAAAAAACAAATTTTGGCTATTTTATAACTTGTCTCTAATTCCATTATAATCTACCGTATGATCGAATAAAAACGGCGTCAACGATGGCTATGAAGTGAAGATCGCTGCCATTTTATATGTAAAATTATATCGGAAATATCATTGATCGTCATTTCATAGCCATCGCTGACGCCGTTTTTATTCGATCATACGGTATTTTAGAGAAAAAGTTTTCAGATAAAACTTGTAGATAATCACATACCTAATGAGTTTGTGTTTTCTGTTTCATTTTCTAAAGTCTGTCATTTTTGACATATGACACAAACATGTTTTTTTTAGTAAACCATAGTTGGCCATGACTTCATAAAAAGCGCAATTTTATGTTGTTTTTAATTTTATATTGTAATATGTTTTTTTCGAAAAATTACAAGTTATAGCCAATTCTTTTCTTTCTTGGCTAATACCAATAATACCATGCCAATTATTGTTGATATTATTATTTATGTTTTCAAAAAAAAAATATCGTAAAATTCGTAAAGCACTCGATTTAGAATAAAATAATCTAAGAATGAAATAATTCTTTTATAAACCTGCATTAAATCAAATTAAAATAGGTATGTAACTTTTTTTTAAATATTAATTAACAGCCAATTAGCATTATCATAAATTATAAATAATGTACCAACATATCAAAATAATAATTTCTTTGTTAATACGGTTTAGAATTCTTAAAATAACAGGGAAAAATAATCCACAATTTACAATAAAATAAATGTTTCGTTTAAATTTCTTAATCAGCTGATCACTAATAAGGTTCGCAGAAACCCGGGTTATATTATAACATTACTCTGAGGAAAATAACGAAAATAATCGATATTTTTGACTCCGCCCCGAAAAGTTCACGATTTGTCCTCCAGTTAGCAGCACATTTTGTCTAGTCGGTTGAGCAACTTTAAGAATATATAAACAAGGCTGATATTATGCATTACAATATACTAACTTATTTATAAATAATTGTTCTAAAAATTATACGATAATTCAATTAAAAATGGTGAATTATACTTTGTTATGTTTTGGAAACGCTTTTATTTTATAATTTATTTTTAAATATTTTTCAACGCTTTATAGTTAACATTAATAATAACATAATTGATGAATTGGTAAGTACTTTTGTATAGAGGTAAATTGTGTACAATTAACGTATTTTGATTCCAAAAGTACATAATAGTTCTCTTTCCACGGTATATTGGAACACCCTGTATTTTGATATTATACAACTTTTTTTATGTAAAAATTGCATTGTTTTTTTGTGTATCGATTAAACTAATTTAGCATCTGTATAAGCATTTTCTATAAATCAACTATGTTAATAATTTTAATTTACCTTCGATCCGTACCATCGATCGTAAACCACCCTGTGTATTGTACCGTTATAGTCTTATTTTTAATTCTTCTTTTTATCATAGATATACCTTATCGGAAGAACAAGTCTGGCCAAGTAAATTTAAAGAATCTAGCGGTTATACTCTCCAACAACTTAGCCCTCTAGTCAAGAAGCAACACGAAACCTTCAAAGACAGTCCCTTAAAGGAACAGCAAGCTATACAAACGAAGTACAAAAACGAAAAATACTTTAAAGTCGCTCTAGTCAAGCCCAAAAATCTTCTAATAGACTATTTGGAAGAGTCCGAATAACAAACTGTGATAATAAACTTTATATTGCTTGTAAAATTAAGACAATTTGCTGTAATGTATAGCATATTTGTTTAAAAAATTATTATAAAATTGTATTATATTAGATATTTTTACACCTTTGATAATTTATTACGCTTATATTAAATTTTTTACAATTTTATTTTTCAAAAATCACCTGTATAAGCCTATATTTTATATGTAAGTTCCTCTTTCAAATGTACTTATCCTAAATAATATTTTTAATACACTTTTCACTCTTTAAAATTGAATTTAAACGTATTTTATATTTTATTTAGTTTTTGAATTAAACTGCAGTCAGGCAATATTTTCTAAAAATATTTTTATTAATTAATGTTATTTGTTTTAAAATTTTATTTTCTACTAATTCATAAAACAAATCTAAACCACAGTGTCATTAAACATCCAGAAAAAAAGTGATCATCTTATTTATTTTTTAATTTTTTTAATTATAATGTTGTAGCTTTTATTAAAAACTGTAATTATTTTTAATCATCTTTTGTTAGCCGAATTTATACAGGGTGGTCCGAACTGTATTCCGGAAACTTCGGCAGCATATTCTGCAAATAAAAATAAGTAAAAAATTTCGTATAAATGTATGTCCTAAAATACTTAGTTTCGGAGATACTGGTATCTCCGAAACACTAACTTTTTATTATTTTTATCTATAGAATATGCTGCCGAAGTTTCGGGAATACAGTTTGGACCACCCTGTATTTAAAGACATTTTAGTCGCCTTAAAGACATTTTAGTGTTCCTAATAAATACCAACTAAATATTGTTTTGTTAACTCTATATTGTTTAAATCTATTAATATTTTACTGAAAAATGTCTCTAATTTTTTTATTATTGATTGTTACAGTATATTTACTGTAGTATGGCTTTAAATTACACGTTAAAAAAAGGAAAAAATATACAATAAAAATGCGATCATTTTGTTAGTGTTTTATATATCAATTATATCTATTCGCTTAGAAACAAAAATTGCTGTTTTTTTATGTGTTAACAATTTAGGGTGAATGTCCATCATTTTAAGCCAAATTGAGACATTTTTTTCGCTATAAACTGCTTATTTTGAAGATTACGATTTGAATGGAGTATACTATTACAATTATAAAATTTTATTTCTATCCAACATTTGTAATAATTTTGGTTTGTTTTTGAACTGTTATTATTATCAACAAAATCTAATTATGTACAAGACAAGTCGTTTTTTTGTATCAAACTAATTTTTAATCTGTATAAGCATTTTTATAAATAAAGTATATTATTACATATTTTTAGTTTCCCTTGCAGTTTAACATATCCAGGGTTATTCAACGAAGAGGTAATCTGTAATAAACAGTACCATATGACCTAAGTTTTTTATTAACTTACCTCTGATTTACCCGACAAAGCTAACATTAGAGAAATTTTAATTTACGTAAATACGTAAATCATTGAAATTTAGAATTGAAATTGAAAATTTAAAAATTTAAATTGAAATTACACAAAAAGAATTTTTGAATAGTACCACAGACCAACCTAAACCAAACTTATACCAACTAAGTTAGTTTGTGATAGTACTTATTTTATCAATTAAAATAAAAATGGTTTTGTACCGGGTGGCCCACTAAGAATAGCTCTCGGCTGTATCTCGGAAAGTATTAGCCGTAGGGCTTACGGAAAAAAATATTTTTATATTTTATAATATGAGAAATTGCTGGAAATTATTTTCAAGTTTGTAAAACGTCCGCTAGGGGGCGCAACTGCTATGAAAAATAAGAAAACAGAATTTTTACAGAATTTTGCCTAGATAATGGGTACTATAAATAATAGCTTCATAATCTTCAGTAAATTTTGGATTTTCTTTTTTAGAACCATTTTCTCCTATCTGCTAAAATAAAGTGGTGGGAGAAGGTTAGATCTATCTTTATTTAAATGTTAATAACTCCGGACTGGATGATCAGAATCCAACAAACTAGGGCTCGTTTAAAAGAGCGTTTCTTACTCTATATTATACCATAAAAATAATAATAATAAAGTTTTGACCGTAGACGCTAGGGGGCTATTAAATACGATAGTATGTGTAATTTTAGCTGATAGTAAAGAGTAGTAAAAGCTTAAAAAGTCAGCGAAAACCGCATTTTGATATCTTCTTTCAAACCGAAGATATTAGCAAAATTATAATAAATACCAAGAAACAAGTCTTTAATTACATTATTTTTACAATACGGTATCAGTAGCCCTCTTGATTATGCCCATTCTAACAAAAAACTAAGATAGAAACAGTTAGTTTATTTTAAAATCGACGAAATACCAGAATACCATAATACCAGATATATTAATATCTAATAATTAAGATATTAACAACAGTGAACAAGAAACGATGATTCAGTGAAGTCATGGTAGGCTTTGGAAAAAAGTTGCTTTTCGCGTAATAGTATAAACGTCTTATTAGATCAACATTTTGATAGTCTTAGCAGCGTTTTTTATCTTCTAATTGCTTTTTCAAAATGCCTTTATTATTTGCAGTACTTGAAGTTGTTGGCATTTTGAAAAAGCAATCAAAAAAGAAAAAAAGCTGGTAAGAATATCAAAATGTTGATCTAACAACAATTTGACGTTTATACTATTACGTCAAAAGCAACTTTTTTCCAAAGCCTACCACTGAATCATCCTTTCTTGTTCACTGTTGTTAATACCTTAATTATTAGATTTATAGACCTCTGGTATTATGGTATTCTGGTATTTTGTCGATTTTAAAATAAACTAACTGTTTCTATCTTATTTTTTTTTTGTTAGAATGGGCATAATCAAGAGGGCTACTGATACCGTATTTTAAAAATAAGGTAATTAAGAGCTTATTTTTTGGTATTTATTATAATTTTGCTAATATCTTTAGTTTGAAAGAAGATATCAAGATGCGATTTTCGCCGACTTTTTAAGCTTTTACTACTCTTTACTATCAGTGAAAATTACATATACTATTGCATTTAATTTTTTTGAAAAAACGCGCAATGTTTGTTAAATTGTAAGACAACGCCCCCTATCGTCTACGGTACAAAGCTTATTATTATTGTTTATATGGTACAATATAGAGTAAGGAACGCTCTTTTAAACGAGCCACTGTTTGTTGAATTCCAATCAACCAGTCCAGAGTTATTAATATTTAAATAAAAACAGAACTAACCTTCCTTCACCACTTTATTTTAGTAGATAGGGGAAAATGGCTCTAACAAAAAATATTCAAAATTTACTGAAGATTATGAAGCTATTACTTATAGTACACCTTATCTAGACAAAATTGTGTAAAAACTCCATTTTCTTATTTTTTGTTGCAGTTGCGCCCCCTAGCGGTCGTTCTACAAGCTTGAAAATAATTTCCAGTCATTTCTCATAGCCTCTTTAGTTATAAATATTTTATTATTTATTTCCGCAGCCCCTACGGCTAATACTTTCCGAGATACAGCCTAGAGCTATTCTTAGTGGGACACCCTGTACTTAGTTTCGAATTATCAACAGCAGCAATGGAGGCCGTTATTCCAGACCTAACATCACTACACATTGTCATCGGTAGATATTCCATATATATGACATATATGGGTCTTAATAAACAAGAGGCACGGGAAAACTTACTAAATGCATGGCAGCTGGAATGGGAGAACTCCAATACTGGTAGATGGACCTACAAGATAATTCGGAACTGAAAACAATGGATTAATAAGCCGTATGGGGAAGTTGACTATTTTATGACGCAAGCCCTCTCCGGTCATGGATGTTTTAACAAATACCTCTTCAAACGTACTCGATCACAAACTGACAGATGCTCAAATTAGACGATGTTGAGCATACTCTGTTCAACTGCTCACGTTGGGACACTGAGAGGAAATATTTTGGGGTACACACTGGACAAATATTCACAGTGGAGAGCATGTGTGCTGGACTGGTTGGCGGTGAAAAACTATGGATCGCAACACATGTTACGGTTGAGAAAATAATAAAGAAAAGGAAGAGCAACGCAAATAAGCGAGGGCAGCCCTCATGCTGAAGTAATGCGAAAGCGGTTTCCAGCATGAGTGGTGTTAGACACGTGGTGGTTTTTTAGTGGTCAACAATCGGAAGAATCCCACACTTCGTCTATAAAAAATCTTTCCACCTCGAAAAAAAAAGATGTGCCAATGAATTGCCAGCTCAGGAGTTTAAAATACCATCAAAAGGAAAATTCCACTCCTCCAACTACCAGTGGCTGACATACCAAGAATGTACCGGGTGGCCAATTAAGAATGGGCGCTGGCTGTATCTCAGAAACTACTTATCGTATAACTTTGGGAAATATATTGTAATAAGTAGAAGACAAGTTCGAAAAATGTCGTTTGTTGGATTTATATCATCCAGTCCGGAGTTATTAATATTTAAATAAAAACAAATCTAACATTCCCCCACCATTTTATTTTAGCAGATAGGGGAAAATCGTTTTACAAAAAAGATCCAAAATTTACTGAAGGTTGTGAAGCTATTACTTATAATAACATCCTGAGGAGAAGAAAGACAGAGGGTGAGAGCGAAAGTGGGGAGGGGGAGAGAGTGACAATCTATGACGTAACAGTCAAGGATGGAAAAACAAAGCGGACATGATCTAGGTTACGACCGCATCGTTATGTTACCCTTTCCACTAACGAACCGCTTTGGTTTTGAATACATCAGCGAGCTAGTTTTGTTGGAAGGGGATGAATACTTAAACCACCTGCCCTCCAAATTACAAAATTTACTGAAGATTGTGAAGCTATTACTTATAGTACACCTTTTCTATGCAAAATTTCATAACAATTCCATTTTCTTATTTTCGTATATATCTAGGGACTTTATATTTTCCATAACAGGTTACGCCCTCTAGCGGCCATTCTACAAACTTGAAAATAATTTCCGGCAATTTCTCATGCTCTCATTAGTTATAAATATTTTTTCTGCAGGCCCTACGGCTAATATTTTCCGAGATACAACCGAGAGCTATTCTTAGTGGGACACCCTGTACAACTTTGACAAACACCTCATTGTAGTACTGAGCTATAAAAAGAATTACAAGAGAGTTGGTTTGATCAGCAGGAAAAAGACCATACCATAAAGTGGTATACTGATGCTACCGAAACAAAATAAGGAACACGGATAGGAGTATTTTGGGCCGAAAACTAAATACTCTCCAACAAGCAAAATTTATTGCTGGAACATTACCAAAACTTCACAAAGCAAGGTGTAACATTACTATTTTTATTGTAGGGAGGTTTATGCAAGGTTTCAGGGTAGCTTCCCTGAAACCTTGCATAAACTTC